AAAGTAAAAACTAATTCAATACTAAAATAACACAGTCTCTACCCAATCATTTTTATTTTTATTTAAATTACAAATGCAATGAAAACACAGGCATCTGTATCAGCATGTACCAAAAATGAAAGTTTAGGTACTGTATTCATTCTGGGAAAAAGTGGTATCGGAACATCCCTAATAATAATACTAATAATAACAAATAAATAAATGAAGTGACTGTAAATCACACAGTAGGCTTCAGCAGAGAATAAAGAAGCTCTTGAGACGTGAGACTGGACGTCAGCTGATTCAGTTCACAAATACACCATCGCAGAATCATCAGAGCATCAATCAGTGTCTGCTGAGAGCCAGACAGAACACACTACAGGAAGAGGAAGAGGGGAGACAGGAAGCGCATCATCACCTGATTCTCTTTGGCTGAGGACTCCATGAACGCTGCGTTCCACGATTCTGCCAAAGCTTTGCCCTCTTCACAGCTGATCACGCTGAGAGAAACACACAGAACCAATCTACACCAATCGAACTTCAGCAATAAAATAAATACACCAGTGGAGCGAATGCAGATATTAATGCACAGAAAAACACAACATACTGCATCAAAAACATCTGTTTAATCAGAGCTCTGGTGGGTTTGTTTTTTATTTTAACGATTTTATTTATAAAAGTTTTCAATTGTATTTTAATTGTAGTTTTTTAATTTCTGTTATGTGCATTTGTCATTTTTATTAATTTATTTTTATATTACTATTCAGGTTAAATTTATTTTTATTGGCAATTTTTATGGTTTCAGATTTGATTTATTTCCGCTTCAACCTAAACTTTATCATTTAGTTTCCAAGTGAAACAAGTTCCTTTATTTCAGCTTTATTCAGGGTTCCCACTCTTTCATGAACACCATATTCAAGGACTTTTTAAAGCACCATTTATTTTATATCAAGCACCGCTCAACTTCACACCCCAGCATATGTAGTGTCATGAAAGACCTTACATTACTTAACATTTCACTTACACTTAACATTTACATTAAACATTCAGAGTAATAATGTTTTGAATGTTTTGAACCGTTTTGAGCAGTCGTGTTCAAAGGAATTTAATGAAATCCACTGAAGTCAGTACTGGTGATGTTCACATTAAATTTCTAAAATATTGATAAAATATGCATCAAACTGGTTTTTGCTGTAGTTCTTGTACAAGATTTAAATTTGAAAGAATTTCTCAATTTTTAAATTAATAAAAAGTGGTTAAATGTTGTAGTAACACGGTAAAACCTGATACAAATTTGCACATTCACTCAAAAGAGACGTTACTCATGAATAAATAAACAAGTCAAAATAATGTTGTAAATGACTTTTTACTGTAAATCCCATTTCTTCATCTTTGACCTAGAGGAATGCAGCTGCTCAAAACGTCAGTATTTTTTGAAAATATTTCATGAACATTTTAAACCTTGTACATGTGCAAATCTGCAAAAATATATATTAAGAAAATAAATTAAAAAAATAGGACTTACTATTTGCTTTTAAACTGTAAACGCTTTTCACCAAGCTGTTTTTCCAATTTTTCAAGTTCTACATTTTCTCCTTAGCTCCATGTTGCAGTAAGTTTTGGGAGTTCATTTTTAGTCCATCTTCTATCCTGAAAAGTCTGTCTTGCAGAGACTGA